ATTTGTAATTGTTTGTTGAGACCATCACCTTGTTATGTTTGCACAGGCATAACTTCTCTGGTTTGTGATTTCAGCTGTATCTGCAACTTCTCAACACCTTTGCTAAAAGGCACTGGCAACTGCACTGTAGAATGAAATACTGTTCTATGAAAGCACATCAGCCTCTACCCTGTTTCTTCATGTTCCATGCTGGATTTCTAATCGACATCTGCCGCGTGCCAGCTCTAACACGAAAAGCCTATGGGCTGTAGGAAAAATCCGTAGGCCTAACCAGATTGCCTAACAGCACCAACCTTCTTACGTTAATCACTACATCTACAGAGGTCGAATCTTCGTCCTCGTTTCGTCGATCTTCGACAGCCGTTGTCGGTGGTGAGCAGGTTCTGATCACCGACTTTTCGCAGCCTCTTTCAATCTTCTAACAGCCTGCGCTGCTCTTGGCAACCTGCGCGAAACCGAGCCGATATAATGTTCCATGACGGAAATACCACGAAGGGCCGGTAGCTGTTTTAGCTAACCTTGCCACGATCTTCAACCCTCTTCCTTCCTCATCCGGGCTTGGGACTGGCGAATAATATGAGACACATCGGTCATTGACAAAAGCATCATCCGTATGGGGCAAGAACCAGAAGGGTTTACGTTTCGCTGTTATGATCGATGAGATTAAGAAAGCCCAGAAGTCACCGATTTGTAGATAACAATGATTCGATCAGGAAACCGCGTCAAGACGATGCCATTAATGAACGTTAAAATAATCATCTGTGAGGGCGCAGATGTGAGCATACAAGATCATTTGATTTATGGCATTAAGGCTGTTGTAGAACGTCAAAGTGGGATAGCAAAGTCGACGAGAAACATACGCAGAAGCCCTTCAACAAGACAGCTAATAGCTGGAATAGGCCAACTGAAAGTTCAAAGGAAAGTGGACAACAAGTACGCTGCATTGTGCAAAGAGATACGGAAGAAGTTGAGGTAGAATTATGAAAATTACAGGAGAGTTCAACTAAGAAGAGCTAAGAGGCTGAAGAAAAGCTTGCAAGTGGTGGAAAGAGATATTTGCTTGAAACAATGGATTCTGAGTGCACTAAAAGATGAAGGAGGAGCAGGAACCACTAATCGCAATTCTATGTAAGCGATCGGACCAAAGTTCTACAACAACCTACAAACTTCCAAAGTAAACATGAAACGGACTTTGCACAACGCTCCCAGAAACCGTCTCCGAAGTTCCGCGGGACAAACTGGCAGGCAATCAGAAATATTAAAAATGATAAATGTTTAGCAAAGAAGATATGAAGCAAAGCACCTTGAACAGGAGAAAAAATTGCGTCTGAAGCTCTTGCCAAACCTTACGGACTACAGCAAACAAAACAGTAAGCAGAAAGTGTACAAAATATCAGGAACGAATTTTGTCATGAAGAAAGGAGACTTCAATCACCTCAAGAACTATCGAGCAGCTGAACTCCTGTTGCAAATTTGCAACTTTATCGCCCGTTACACTCATAAACATTTTGGAAAGGACCTCGAACATGTCACAAGACGGGAACAGGCCGGTTTCAGTACAGGGTTTTCTACTAGCGACCATTTGCTGTTATCCAGCAGCTGTTGGAGAAGTGAAATGAATATCAAGTACGAGTATGTTTCACTTTCATCGATTACACAAATGCGATCAATTTGGAACCACTGACAGCTGTGGTAAACGCCCTGCATGGCATAATCCCGGTGTACGTCAATCTGATCGAGAAACTGAACATCGGTTGCAACATTATTATCAACCTGTTCAGCGAAGAATGTCGCATCAAAATCTATTGAGAAATGCGCCAAAGAGGTACCGTTTCACCAGCGCTGTTTGTCGCGGTATTGGAGTCTTTCTTCAACCAGCAAAACTGATGCAAATCTATCAATAATGATGAAGCAGATGCATTTGTTATTTACGGACGACTGTCTCGTCTTCGCATAGGACAAGATGGAGCTCCAACGAACGATCCAGCAGCTGCTCGAAAAATCTCTATCGGTATCGAGGTTAACTTCTCCAAGACAAAATCAATGAGAAACCAGCAATGTCCCTCAGACCTTACCGAACAATTAGCAAAAGCTCGAAGTCAGCTTCGCATACCTTCGCCGTCAGGTGGGTGAACTTTGTAGCCGAAGAAAGAAGGCGGCATGAGTTTGCCTTAAAGTACTCGACACTAGGCTGGTCATGCGAACGAAAAAACAACTATTTGTTCCAACTGTCTTACTCTGCGTGATCTACGGTGCTGCACGTTGGTCTGTTACTAACGCCAAAGAAAAATTTATGGTCACAAAAAGAGCGATAGGCTGAGAAATGTGCAAGGCGTCACTTCAAGATCACACTCGGAATGCCCAAATTTGGCAACGAACACTATGAGAAAATGGAGCGGCCACGTGGTCGGTTTGAATGACAACCGGTGGTGGTAAA